AACCCCTACCGCATCCGTACAAAAAGTCAATGTGAAGCTGGGCTAGAAACCAGAAGATATGAGGAACAAAGTAGACTAGCATATCAAGTGCATCCTCTCCCCGATCAAATTCTTGATTACGTTTGGGATTATGGTGTGTTAAAACCGTCAGACGAAAAGGTCTACATCAACATCATGGTTAAAAAATGCTTGAAAATTTTAAGAGAGGAAGAAGCTGCAAAATTTTCCGAACTGTTATTCTGCTCGCAAGATTTTGTTCGAAAACAAGAAGGGAAACACAGTGTCAGTTTGCGAGACGTCAAACGAGCGATAAAGATATTTGAATTCTTTTTAAAGAGTATGGATGAACGTGACAAACATAGATATGTGACGCGTTTTTATCCACATGAAAAACTTACCAGATCCTATATTTTGTCTTTAAGTCTCTGTTATCAAGCGCGATTTTACGATCAAAACTTGAGAACAGAATATTGCGAAGCAATTTGCAAAGCTTACAATAAATTTAAAGGCATTCGTAGAGCTATGACACAGGACTATTACAGAGCTATTATTCGTGACGAGCAGGAAGATTTTATGGTTAGGATGAGTAAACCACCGCAAGTTGCAGAAAACGAAGCTTTGTTAGAAAATGTACTGGTGATGATCGTTTGTATATTGACCAAAATCCCTGTCTTTGTTATTGGCGCGCCAGGGTAAGAGATACTTGTGTTTATTTGTTTATTACCTTCGAATTCATATAATTCATACATAATAATTATACTTTAATTGAACTAGCGCATCAAAATCACTTGCCATTCGTTTGGTTTCACAAAACCTCCGTGGTGGAGACTCTGATGATCCTTATTTTAGAACACTGCCGCAGGTATCTTAAATTATAAATGAGCGATGTAATTATATTCACCTTTAACTCATGATAATTTTTCGTGCTCTGTAGGTATATGTTATTCCTTACCAGGGTTCATCATCTTCAACTTCGGATGGTGTAGTGAAGGTGTTTAAGAAAGCGGAAGAATATCAAAAAACCAATTCAAAAGATTTTCCATTGATTACCGTTGTCTTACTTGATGAAGGTAATTCAATCTTGAATTTACAAACTGACATTGAATAACCCACATTCTAAAATAAATCCTTTTATCAGTTGGACTGGCTGAGACTTCTCCACACAATCCGCTAAAAGTTCTGCATTCATTACTCGAACCAAGCTATCCACAGGAATTTCCTAATGTTTCCGTTATTGGCATAAGTAACTGGAGACTTGATAATTCAAAATCAAGTAGGGCTCTGTTGATACAAAGGTTAGTGGTGATATTGCTATATGTAATTACGCGTATGTATTTTGACGTTTTTAAATCCTAGGCCAAAATTTGAGGGAAAAGACCTTATGGATACAGCCCATCGATTACTAACAAAAAACAAGGGCTTCCGAATCTTTGGCAACAGTAAGATTTTACATGCATTATCCGAGTCCTATTTGGAATACGAAAAGAAACAGCCAATAAAGAACTTTCATGGTCTTCGTGATTATTATTCCCTTGTTAAAAGTCTTAGTTCCAGCGATGTAATTTCAATTTTTTTTACTTTTCATAATAATACTCAACCTGTCGATTTTAATATTCCGAATTTTCAATTTAATGACAGGACAATCCGGAATCCACACAAATGGTGTTGGCAAGAAATTTTGGTGGGACAAACAATGTGGATCAATTATGCGAAAAGCATTTCAGCTCAGTCATAAAAGCTTTTTACGGAAAGATCATGAAATTTAAAAAATTTTCGGCGGAAGAACTCATCAAAGCGAATTTAGAAGACAATGGGGCAAGGCATCTTATGATTATTGGAAAAAGTGATTCCATTGTCAATCTGTTAACATACAAACTCCAACATTGGAGCAATGAGCTATCCAGAAAGCGTGATTTTTTGGGTGCTTCTAAAATCACCAGATCTTCTGCTTGGGATATGGAACCTGTCGTCATTTATGGCAGTCAATTTCCTAATGATTTCGACGATGATTACCAATACAGTGTTTTAAGTAGAATCATGGTAAGTTTTGAAAAATTTTCGCCAAAAAAAATTCATGATTGTTTATACACATTTTGTTGCTACTTTTTATTGTAGATGTGCGTTGAAGCCGGTAGACCTCTAATTTTGACTGATCTCGAAATTATCTATGGTAATTGCAAAATTTTTTCGTGTCCAGATCAAATAATCCAGATGCTTATTTAATGTGTTTTCGACTTTAGGGAGTCTTTATGATCTGTGGAATCAAAATTACATTACCGTGGGCAGAGACGATAATCAAAAATTTTATACGCGAGTTGCATTAGGAGCCTATTCGAATCCGATGGTTTGTGTGCACGAGAATTTTAGGTGTATCCTGGTACTTGATGAGAAGAAAGTAGATTTCGCCGATCCACCGCTCCTTAATCGATTTGAAAAGCAAAAAATGTCAATAAATGATACCTTAGATGATAGGATGAGTGGACTTGTCAGAGAGTTATCGACTTGGTGCAAACAAATATCAAATTTTGTTAAACAAGGCAATTTCGCAAAATCCGAATTCAAAGAACGTGATACATTTGTTGGGTTCGATCCCGAAGAAACGTTGCAGAGCTTGGTTATTCACAATTGTACAACAACCGAATTGACAGATGAGGAAATATTCGTTAGGTGCAAAGAAATGCTTATAAACATTGCATCAGCAGATGGTATCATCAGATCAAGGAATTCTGGATTATCTGTCGATATCGAGGAAATTGAACGTTGGAAAAATGTTTACTTCCATGAACAACATCATGACAATATAGCCACATATATTCGATCGTTGTTAGATGAAAATTTGATGAAAGATCAAGGATTTAAAACGGTCATCAATACCTTTTCGAACATAAATACCGACATTGCATCGTGCTTAAGTGAAATCCTAACGTGCCAGATCGATAAAATCTCGACTTTTAAATCCGAAGCTCAGCTTACTGCTAGGATCAAGCACTTTTGGTTTGAATCGAATGCGGATATGTTGATATTGCAATGTGATTTGACAGCAGTGAGTGCTGGATGCATCAAGCTTGCAAAATTCATCATCGAGCAACTGCAAAAAGAATTCATGATTTCTGACGAGAGTCCAATCGTGAAGCATGTTTGCATCATTCTTCATATGATGCGAGAGAACGAGGCTACAACAACGTCTTTTAATTTTATGTGCGGATGGAAGCTTGTGACCATAGAAAACCTAACCTCTCAAGGGCAAACATTGACCGCCTATCTTGATAACAGCTTAAATGAGATTCTTGAGCATGTGTATCCGTTTAAAGAAATCATCTCTCAAGAATTACTATGGTGTCTACTCTGCATGAAATTCCCCTCGACTCCCGAATCCGTTGACTATATAAAGTGTGTAAGGTTCCAAATTGTCGCTTACTGTTTTTCATACATGTCACTGTCTCACCCGGATCTTAATTATTTTACCTAGGTTGCTTGTCCAGGAAATTCCAAAACATGAGGAATTTCTTGATTGCCTAAGGGTTAGAACCCTCGAGTGGATCGGTGAAAATGTTCCAGAAGATTGGCTTTTGCAGGTTGCCTCAAACAAAAAGGACCTGTATTTGTATTCTTCATTCTCCTTATCGTTGCAAACATATATTCGTAATCAAGTTCGAAAACCAATTTCAAAGTTGCTTTGTGTCCTGGAACGAATGTCTGGGCTTTGTCCGTTATTCATTAAAGATGACCTGAAGCATTTCGATGATTTGTACGATTACGACCCACCTTCGGATGAACTATTTGAATTCTGGAAACAAGTATTCATGGATTCCAAAATTGTCAACATAGAATATTTGCTGGATCCAAAGCCAGATTTGTATCAGATACCCGCAAGAAATCATAACACTCGATTTCCATTTTCAACGTACTACATGGATCAGATAAATAAATTCAGGAAGTTATATCAGGAAGATCTGTCGGTTTTGGAAGAAGACGAAAATAATTATGACGAAATGGGTGAGCTAAGGATCGATGTCATTGAGAATTGCATTGAAAGGTTTACCGAGAACGTCTGTTCCGTGATTCCTTTGTTGAAATCACCAAAGCTCTTTGAGGAGCCTGAAATTTATTTCAAAGACTTTGTCACAGTTGCTTTACCCAAATTTGGAAAATATAATAAGGATGGAGAACTATTGAGATGGATTATCTTATATCATCTAGGTCAGCAAATTCCCAACCCGGTCAGACTCCACGTCTTTTGGTGGGACAAATCCGAATCTGTGCTTGCCGAACTTCAAATGATGGAAATGTGTCCGGAGGTCATAAAAACAATAACTTCCATGAAAAATGAAGAAATCAGGAATCTTGACTTCGAAGAATATCTGTTGGAGGAAGTGGTTAATGTGTTCATGAATAGGATTTATTCAATTAATGATAAGTCCGGGTCTGAGAAGATGCTTCACACTTGGCAAAGGGATGTCACCAGTCTTTTATCTCTGGCAACAAGACTGTTGATTGATGTTAATGGAAATCAATCTTTGCAAAGATTACGGATTTATAATGACCTGTCAAAATCCCTCAAGCTACAAGATTTGCTTGAAATCAGAAAGATAGAAGTTGAAGAGGAAAGTGAAGAGATGCTATCTAAACAGTTCATTGACAACGTTTTTAAGAAATTAGCCAGTTATGATAAAAATGAACTCAGCCTATCTTCACAAAGATCATTTATAAATAGATGCCTCAACACACTTTCCATGGAATCACCTATTCGTCTGCTCCTTTACACAAAGATATTTTCTACGGATCCTTTGCCCCTGTCATTTTCCATCGTCCATCGCATATTCAATACCGAATATCAGGAAGATGAGGACATATTTTTCAAACTGATAGAAGACCCTCGTGAGGTCTTAAGAACTTCGGAACGCCTGCGATTAATTAATGATATATTGGAGAAAGACATCGATTCACCTATTGCCGCCCTATGCACGGACGTCCTTCAGACCCAGTTCTTTGACGATTTTGGTATAGGAAAATTGTCACAGTATTTCACGAGAGCAACCGAGATCTTGTTTACAACCGAGGTTAAATATTTGCAGATGATATCAGCCATTTCTCTCCTAAAGTCATTCGGGAAAGTTTTTTGGAAATGCGCGAGGTCTCTCAAACACTCCTTGAATCGTCAAATTGAATTCATATTTGAAGACGACGAGTTCATGATCGATACTGACCTCGATGTCATTAACAGGAGAATGGATATGCCTCATCCTTTGATCCATTCATTCCTGCTCTATCTACTCAAGATTTTAAGAAACTCCCAAGGGTTCTCCATGGATGACCTTAAACGATTTTGTAATACAAATAAAACAATTCTCCCTTGGCTTGGTGGATTGGCATGGACGGAAAAAGATAGAGGACGAATTGATTTTATTCCTTATTGGTACATCGAACAATATAACCAAGCAGAACACGCAGTTGATAAGATTATTTCACGTGGCGATGAAACTTTCATGAAGAATCTGTTAGAATCTATAAATAATCCGAAAGAGAAGAATGTGATCAATCTCAGGATTTCATTTTCCGGAGCAATCATGGCGAAACTTTATCTCGTGAGGGCATCACGAGATTTGAATCAAGCAGAGACAATATTGGCACAAAAGATATTTGAATTCTTGGGAAAGATAACGCTCCCAAAGTTTTACAAAGAAACCTTGGCTAAATTCATAAAGAATGATCATCCACTATTCAAACTTTCAGTAGATAGCGACAATTCGAAATTATTTACATGCTCGGTTATTGCGCATGTGATAGCTTTATGCTTATCTTTGCCACCAAATTCGTCTCCATTGGCAGATTACTTGCAAAATCTGAAAGATTGTCAAAACTCTTTTATTCTTACCTGTCCATCGGACGAACAAACCGTTATCTTGAATGCATTGGTAGATGATAATGTTCAGGATAAGCGCACTACAAGGTAAATTTATTGCTATTCGTATTATTTTTATTTAAAATTACAACATTCATTAATTTTAATAAATAATTTTTAGATATGCCTGCACATGTGGGTATACGTACGTGGTTGGCGATTGTGGTAACGTCATCGCTCAGGCAGTAGGTACATGTCCACAATGTAAGAAACAGATCGGCGGACAAGGCTACAACGTTCCTGTTGTCGGTAACAGCCGGTTGGATCAAATACCATTGACGCAGAAAGTCGAAGTTAAAGTTCAAGCGGGATATCTGATCGAAACAAGAAAAACCGAAGACAATTATAGTGTTCGTGATATGTCACCGGCATCCTACAGAATTCTTCACTTATTTGTTCATGCGATTATTGGCATTTTGGCACCATCACAAATTGTCACCAAATTTATCAACAATCAAAAAAATACAGTTGCAAATAATATCGACGTCATTGCCTATTGTCAGAGGCACATCAGCAATGACTGGACGGCTCTGAAAAATATCCTTGCGTGCGGAGATGAACAATTGGCTTTGACATGTCATTCTATACTTTCACGCATGACGCAAACCCCACTTCAGGGAGTTGCAACAAAGCTTCGAACTTTCGCTGAACGAGAAGCATGGGAGAAAAAGTTTAGCACACAGTACGTATCACCTCTTGTCAAAAATGCCATTGGATCTGCGGCCGAATTTCGTAAGTTTCTGGAAACCAAGTCAGCAAGTGCTCAAATCAAAATTGAATCAGAAATTAATGAAATAATGAAAGTCGACGAAGGTTATCGCAGAGAGAATTTACCCCGCATATGGCGTCAAATTGGGGTGCCCAACATGGAAAACTTCCGCGCATACTACTTGAATAATGCTGAACACGTTAGATCATTCCCGTTCCTGGAAATTTTTTTGAAACATGAAAAGAATTTGAGCTTGATTCAGCATATTTTGCCAATTGTGAAATTCGTTCAACTTTTATCATCTAGTCTCTCCTATCGATTGGAAAGGCAGGCAGCACGTCAACTGACTTTCAAAGAATTCATAGCCAAAGAATGTGACGATGACAACTCTGGTGAATCCAGACGCTTAATGGAAAACGCATTTACAGCATTCTCTCAAGCATGGAACACGTCAATTCCTTATGTCAAAAGATATAAATGTCAAACTTTGCGCAAATCACCTCCAACAATGACAGAAAATCTTTCCGTTGTTTACGGATTGATTGAGCCGGTCGACGAATCAATATATCTTTGTGCCATCTTAGACTTTCTGGTTCAAATACAGAACGAATTCCTAAAGGATGTTATTGGAATTCCTTCCGGCAAATGTCAATCACTCAAGTTTTTGGAATATTATTTGGATGAAAAAGCCAAATATCACCTGCAGTCGATAAGATTAGAGAATGCAAAAGCTGCGCATATTATCTCATACAAAGGCATAACCGAGATTTTTAAATACAGTCAATTCGATCTAAGAATATGTCATGGGCAAGAGATAGCATATGATTTATGCAAGATTGAACTAGAACTTGCTCATTTATTGGTGTTTGAGAAGGCGCTCATTGAATCCAATGAACAAGATCTGTACATGGAACGATTCCCATATCATAAAGAATTATTCCAGGGTTCTATGACCATATTGAGTGAAATCAAGGAGTTGGTCGCTCAGGAAAGTATTCCCGAAGAAAAGAAATTATTATTCATCGGAGCCTCCAAAAACTCATATGGTACAATATATCAAGAAAACTTTGAGATGTCACTGGGAATGGAAAATCCGAAGGAATTGCTATCTGCATTGGAAATGATTATTTGTTTCTTGAAACGAACATCTGGCGGAGATCGGGAAATACTGATAACTGATTACATGGAAAAGTGGATGAAGCTCACGATTTTGAGAGATGACAATGCAAGCTACAAATTATTAACAAGATCTGGTTTGCAACTGAAACACATAGTGGCGCTTTATGAGTTAGTTGAAGAACATGTAGCGGATGTAATCGCAACCTGCATTCATCCAAAATATCAAGCAAAGATAAATGAATTGATTGAACAAGAAATTATGGATTCCATCAACCTTAATGATCAGCAGGAAACCAGAGATAATAATAGGAATAGTAATAGTAATGCGAAAATTCCGGCCGAAGCATTTGCAACAGCATTGAAGAGATTCATTTTGAGACATTTATCGATAGGAGATAGTATTGTTGAAACAACACCTCTTTCGACTTACCTTGTGCAAGACGAAGCACTCGAGTGTTGGCCTGATTCGGTTCAGAAA